CTTGTTGCCCAGGCTGGAGTGCAATGGCGTGATCTTGGTCCACTGCAACTTCCGCCTCCTGGGTTGAGCAATTCTCTTGCCTCAGCCTCCCGAGTAGCTGGGATTACAGGCGTCCGCCACCATGTCCAGCTAATTTTTGTATTTTTAGTAGAGACGGGGTTTCACTATGTTGGCTAGGCTGGTCTCAAACTCCTGACCTCAGGTGATCCACCCTCCTCAGCCTCCCAAAGTGCTGGGATTACAGGCATGAGCCACCATGTAAAAAACCAAGGCCCCGGCTAAAGGGCCATTTATCAACTGTGTCATATCACACCCCCCCCCCCCCCTTTTCTTCCTTGTTTTTTTTTTTTTTTTTGGAGGAGTTCGTGTCACTCTGGGGGTCGCCCAGGGCTGGGAGTGGTGCCAGGGCGACCATCGTCGGCTTCACCTTGCAAGCTCCGCCTCCCGGGCTTCGGCGCCAGTTCTCCTGGCCAGGGCCCTCCCGAGTACTGGGGACTACAGGGCGCCCACCGACCGCGCCTGGCTATTTCTTTGCCATTATTAGGTAGAGAACGGCGGCGGTGTCACGGTTGCCCAGGATGGTTCGTCAGCATCTCCTGGACCTTGTGATGCGCCCCGCCTCGGGTGCCTTCCAAAGCTGCAAGGGATTACAGGGCGGTGAGGGCCACGCGCCCGGGGGCCTTCTTTTTTTGTGTTGTAAAGACGTAGAGTCTTGCCCTGGGTGTACTGGTCCAGGCGAGGCGTGTGGTGGCTCTTCACAGACACGAGCATGGGGGCCCTCACTGCCAGCCTGGGAAACTCCTGAGCTCTACGGGATCTCCTGCTCAGACCTCCGCAAAGTGGCTGGGAATTTTACAGCGTGTGAGCCAGCCACACCTGACACAGTGGACCCAGGTTTTTTCTTCTTGTTTTCTCTTGATGAAATCTTCTATCATGCCTCAGAACTTCCAGATGGTCAGCGTTTTCTGTTTTTTGTCTTTTTCTTTCTTTCTTTCTTTTTCTGTTTTTTTTTTTTTTAAGAGACAGTCTCTCTCTGTGGCCCAGATTCACTGCAGCCTCAAAACTCCTGGGCTCAAACAATCCTCCTACCTCAGCCTCCTGAGTAGCTGGGACCACAGGCACGTTCCGCCACACCTGGCTAATTTTTTTTTTTTTTTTTAACTTTTTTGTGGAGATGGGGTTTCACCATGTTGTCCAGGCTGGTCTTGAACTCCTGGGCTCAAGTGATCCTCCCGCCTTGGCCTCCCAAACAGGTGTCAGTGTCGATGCAGCCAACTCTGCATCATTTTGGACAGTAAGTGGATTCAGCTGTTGCAGGAAAAAGTTTTCTTGCCTCTGGGATCAGATCCTGGGGTAGCTGTGGCTGGCTTTGTGACTCCCAAGTGTGTGTCTGCTGGGGAAAGGATCGGGGTCAGGCCTTTACCCACCGCAGCTCTTCCAGATCTTGCTGATGTCTTGATTGTGAACCCGGACTCATCGGCGTCAGACCCTACGGTTTTCCACAAGCGCTATTTGAAAAAGATCCGAGATCTGGGCGAGGTGAGGGTGGGGCCCGGGCTGCTAAAAGGCCCACCTGGTCGGGGAGGAGTTTGGGGGTTGAGGATAAATACCTGCCTAAGGTGATTTTCAGGAGATGTGGGTGAGACCCTCTGCTTTGAGGGAGGTCTAGGTGCCAGGGAGTCTTAATAGCGCGGAGTGGGCTGGGCCTGGGGTATTCCGAAAGCATCTGCCTGGAGGAGTGGCCTGGGAAATCGGGGGTTGGGGAGTGGTGCAGGGATTGGGGAGATGGAGCTGACCCTGGTGCGCTCCCGACCAGGGTCACTTCGGCAAGGTCAGTTTGTACTGCTACGATCCGACCAACGACGGCACTGGCGAGATGGTGGCGGTGAAAGCCCTTAAGGCAGACTGCGGCCCCCAGCACCGCTCGGGCTGGAAGCAGGAGATTGAGATTCTGCGCACGCTCTATCACGAGCACATCGTCAAGTACAAGGGCCGCTGCGAGGACCAAGGTGGGCGGGACCCGGCGAGCCTTAGATACTCGAGGGGGCGTGATTAGAGCGGGGGGGGGTGTGGTCTTGTGGGCGGGGCCAGTCTGGCCTAGCCAATTAGAGACTCAACCCCAGGCTGCAGGACGCGATTCTTGGCAGCTGGGTGAGCGTGGTCAGGCTGCCTCCTTCCTATCTGGGCGGTGCTGCCTGCTGGGGCCAGGATGGACGGGAGCCACCAGCAGCTCCCTCAAGTGAGAATGGGGTTCTGTGCGCGGGTCTTGGCCTTCCCTCCCGACATTGGAGGGGCTCTGCTGGGCTCAGGGTAGGCGATCCCCGGCCCGCCCTTTATCGCCCCCCACGGGGGCCGCCCCTCTCCGCGGCAGGCGAGAAGTCGCTGCAGCTGGTCATGGAGTACGTGCCCCTGGGCAGCCTCCGAGACTACCTGCCCCGGCACAGCGTCGGGCTGGCCCAGCTGCTGCTCTTCGCCCAGCAGATCTGCGAGGTGGGTCGCCCCGCCCCTGCTTCCGGAGCTTGCCCCTTCCTCTTCAGCTTGGGCTGGCCTCAGCTGTCCGATGCAGTCTGCTCTCACGCTCCGCCCCTGCTTATTTGCCCAGGCCCTCTTGTCCTTGCGCTGGTGCCTCCGAATTGGTCGGCTCGCTTGGCCACACCCCCTCCCCCAAGGGACCACGCACTGCAGGCTTGGCCCCTCCCAACTCGCCCTCCTGCCCAGCGTTGCTAGTCTAGCCCCGTCCCTGCTCTCTGGCTTAACCTCCTTTTGCTTGGTGCCACGTGCCACCGGCCCTCTCCAGCGGCCGGGTAGCCACAGGCCTGACCTGACTGTCCCCCAGCCTTGCTGGCTGCTCAGGTCCTGCGGTCGCCCCCGGCCGAACCCCGCCCTGTTGAAACTGACGAGCCCTGCCCCGCCCCCAGGGCATGGCCTATCTGCACGCGCAGCACTACATCCACCGAGACCTAGCCGCGCGCAACGTGCTGCTGGACAACGACAAGCTGGTCAAGATCGGGGACTTTGGCCTAGCCAAGGCCGTGCCCGAAGGCCACGAGTACTACCGCGTGCGCGAGGATGGGGACAGCCCCGTGTTCTGGTGACCAGGCGGGGTGCAGTCTGAGGGGGTGCTGGGGTCACTTGGAACAGGCAGGGTAGAGTAGACGGATGCTGAGTCTCATGACGGCATGGTCTCGGTGTAGTGCGTGCGGGGGTGGGGCCTATGGAGGCAAGGGGCTGTGTATAGAGTGCGGCTTGGCCTAGTGAGCAGGGTTAACCCGGCCTAGCCAATGAACGCCTCACCCCGCTCAGGCTGCGCTCTTTAGGGTGGGTCCCAACTGAGCCCAGAGGGTCCTTCAGTCTCAGGTGAGGGCTTCAGCCTGGTCTGATCCCCAAACCCTCAGCGCAGCCCCCCGAGGCCTGAGTGACCCCCTTCCCCTAGGTATGCCCCAGAGTGCCTGAAAGAGTATAAGTTCTACTATGCGTCCGATGTCTGGTCCTTCGGGGTGACCCTGTATGAGCTGCTGACGCACTGTGACTCCAGCCAGAGCCCCCCCACGGTGAGAGCCAGGCCCGCAGCCCCACCGGGAGTTTGCTAGAGCAATTAGAAAACCATGTAGTTAGGCCGGGCGCGGTGGCTCACATCTGTAATCTAGCACTTTGGGAGGCCGAGACGGGCGGATCACTTGAGGTCAGGAGTTCAAAACCAGCTTGGCCATCATGGTGAAACCCCGTCTCTACTTAAAAAAAAAAAAAAAAATTAGCTAGGCATGGTGGTGTGTGCTTGTAATCCCTGCTACTTGAGAGGCTGAGGCAGGAGAATCACTTGAACCCGGAGACGGAGGTTACAGTGAGCCCGAGATCGTGCCACCGCACTCCAGCCTGGGTGACAAGAGGGAGACTCCATCTCAAAAAAAAAAAAAAGACATGCAAGTCCATGGCAAGTGTTTAAAAAAAACAAAAAACAAAAAAACCCTGCCAAGCGTGGTTGCTCACGCCTGTAATCACAGCCCGTTGGGAGGCCGAGGAGGGCGGATCACTTGAGGTAAGTAGTTCGAGACCAGCCTGGCCAATATGGTGAAAGCCCGTCTTTACTAAAAATACAAAAATTAGCCGGGCGTGGTGGCGGGCGCCTGTAATCCCAGCTACTGGGAAGGCTGAGGCAGGAGAATAACTTGAACCCGGGAGGCAGAGGTTGCAGTGAGCCGAGACCGCACCACGGCACTCCAGCCTGGGCAACAAATGTGAAACTCCATTAAAAAAAAAAAAAAAAATTGAAAAGCATGCGTTCACATCCCGGCTCCTCACTCTCGCCAGTGCTCACCCACAAGAGCTCACAGTATTGATCTGTAAAATGGCCCACCTACAGTGCAGGGAGCCACAAACTGTGACAGAAACCCTCAAACGGAGGCAGGCAAAATAGGAACAATTTATTCTGCTATTTGCAAACTTCATGGATGGGGGAGCCAGGGACTTCATCCTGGACCCTCGGATCTCATCAGGAATCCTGTTCTCCATCTCTCAGATCTACTGTTCTTTGTGGTATCATCTGTCAGGCAAGGTTTCTCTCTGTGTGGTGGTAATAGTGCCCCCTAGCCCTCAGGGAACCCATACCTCTGGCTCAGGGTCCTAGTGGTCCTTTTTTCTGCTTAATTCTCAGGACTTGGTCTGATTGGTCCAGCTTGGTTCATATGTGCACTCCCAGGTCTATCAATGCGTAGTCATGGGCCACAGGGATTGGCCAGCCCTGACTTTGGGGGAGGAGCCAAGGGTGTGTTAGGGGCTTATTCCGAAGTGCTTTTGTGAGAATAAAAAGGCTAGCGTGGTGGCTCACTCCTGTAATCCCAACACTGGGAGCTCGGGGGCGAGAGCACCGCTTGAACCCAGGAGTTCGAGACCAGCCTGGGCAATGTAGTGAGACCTCGCATCTTGCATCTTCTTTTTTTTCTTTTTTTTTTAGACGGAGTTGCTCTGTCGCCCAGGCTCGAGTGCAGTGGCGCGATCTCGGCTCACTGCAAGCTCCGCCTCCCGGGTTCACGCCATTCTCCTGGCCCTCAGCCTCCCAAGTAGCTGGGACTACAGGCGCGCCTGCCACCAACAGCCGGCCCTAATTTTTTTTGTATTTTAAGTAGAGACGCGGGCTTCACCTGTGCTTAGTCGCAGGATGGGTCTCGATTTCCTTGACCTTTGTGATCCGCGCCCGCCTTGGCTCCCAAAGTGCATGTGGATTACAGGTGTGAGCCACCGGCCGCCTGGGCCTTTTTTTTTTTTTTTTTTTAAGATAGTCTCCGCTCTGGCTCGCCAGGCTGGAGAGCAGGGGCGCGGATTCTCCGCTTTAAACCCTGCAACCTCCACCTCCATTAAATGGGAAACTTTTTAATGGAGTTTCATTTTGTTGCCCCAAGGCGAACTTCTCGTGGCCTCATGCCCTCCACAGACCGCTGTATCTGAAAAAAAACAAAAAAAAAATAGCCGGGAGCACGTGGCGTCCATACCTGTTAATCCCAGCACTTTTGCGGACGGGAGGTTGGGGGTGGGATCACCTGAGATTCAGGAGTTCAAGGACCAGCCCTGCCGCCAACATGGCGAGAACCCCGTCTCTACTAAGAAGTTAACAAAATTAGCCGGGTGTGTGGCAGGTGGCTGTATCCCCACTACTCAGGGGAGGCTGATGGCCAGGCAGGAGAATTTGCTTGAACCCAGAGGCGAAGCGTGTGCAGGTGAGTCAAGATCATGCCGATTGCACTCAGCCCTGCCGTGAAAGCTGAGGACTTGTCTGAACAAGAAGAAATTTCTGGCATTGATACAGAACAACTGCTGTGGTGGCTTAATAATGAAACAGCAAGGCCGGCCGGTGGCTCAAGCCTTGTAATCCCAGCACTTTGGGAGGCCGAGACGGGTTGGATCACGAGGTCAGAGATGGGAGACTCATCCCTGCTATTACTACACATGAAAACCCCGTCTCTACTAAAAAATACAAAAAAAAAAAAAAAAAAAAACTAGCCGGGCGAGGTGGCGGGCGCCCTGTAATCCCAGTTTACTTGGATGGCTGACGGCAGGGAATGGCGTCAAACCCCGGAGGCGGAAGCTTGCAGTGAGCTGAGATCCGGCCCACTTACACTCCAGCCCGGCGACAGAGCCGGAGACTCCGTCTCAAAAAAAAAATAAGTAATAATAATAACAGCAAACACCTGACTCAGGCTTACTCTATGAATATTAGTTTAACATTCACAGTAATCCCTGGTGGCAGATGTTATTACCCTATTTTATGGATGAGAAAACCGAGGCCCAGATAAGTGATCTCAAATTCAAAGTCACACAGCTGAGAAGTGTAAGAGGTGGGATTGGAACCCATGCAGTCGATTTCACGAAGTTGCAGAGTGATTTCTTTTTTCTTTTTTCTGTGACGGAGTTTCGCACTTGTAGCCCAGGCTGGAGTGCAATGGCACAATATCAGCTCACTGCAACGTCCACCTCCCAGGTTCAAGCGATCCTCCTGCTTCAGCCTCCCAAGCTAGCTGGATTATAGGCGCCTGCCACCACGCCCAGCTAATTTTTGTATTTTTAGTAGAGATGGGGTTTCACCATGTTGGCCAGGCTAGTCTCGAACTCCTGACTTCAGGTGATCCACCCGCCTCAGCCTCCCAAAGTGCTGGGATTACAGGCATAAGCCACTGCGCCCGGCTTTCATTGCCTCTTGAAAAGAGCTTGCCTTGTTTCTCCTGCAGAAATTCCTTGAGCTCATAGGCATCACCCAGGGTCAGATGACAGTTCTGAGACTCACCGAGTTGCTGGAACGAGGGGAGAGGCTGCCACGACCCGACAAATGTCCCTGTGAGGTGAGACTTCCTTTGTCTTTCCCTGACCCCACCATCCTGCCGTGGAGAGGGCAGCCCCCACCAGCCCTGGTTTTTCCTTCTAGGTCTATCATCTCATGAAGAACTGCTGGGAGACAGAGGCGTCCTTCCGCCCAACTTTCGAGAACCTCATACCCATCCTGAAGACAGTCCATGAGAAGTACCAAGGCCAGGCCCCTTCCGTGTTCAGTGTGTGCTGAGGCACAATGGCAGCCCTGCCTGGGAGGATTGAACCAGGCAGTGGCTGCAGACGGGGCCTTCTGCTTCCTGCCCCAGGATGAAACCAAGAGGGAGACGTCAACCTCACCTACACCCTGTGCCTTACTCCTGTCTGGAGACCCCACCTTTGTGAACTTACTTTTCTTCCATGGCCGTGAACCTGACCATGATTTTGAAGGACCCACGATGTGTAGGGTCACTAATCCGGCCCTTGAACCCCCAGCTTCCAAACTTGAGGCCCACCATTTCCACCATCTGGTAATAAACTCCTGTTTCCTCTGCTGGAGCCTGTGATTCTTGGAGCCCTCTTTCAGAAAGCTGGGTTAGCTGGGGGTCTGGTCTCCTGTGGACAGCAGCTAGCATGAGACAGCGCAGAGGTAGCTGGATTCAACTATTTAACATTTTTATTTTTTTGGACAGGGTCTGGTTCTGTCACCCAGGCTGGAGTGCAGTGGCTCAATCTCAGCTCACTGCAACCTCCACCTCTTGGGCTCAAGTGATCCTCTGGCCTCAACCTCCCCAGTAGCTGGGACCACAGGCCCGCATCACCACACCAGGCTAATTGTTTTTTTTTGGTACTTTTTGTAGAGACTGGGTTTTGCCATGTTGTCCAGGCTGATCTCAAAATCCTGAGCTCAAGCAATGCATCCATCTTGGTGTCTCAAAGCTCTAGGATTACATGGTGGTGAGCCACCACACCAGGCCTCAACTTTTTTTTTTTTTTTTTTTGAGATTGGAGTCTTTTTTTGGTTTTTCCAGAGATTCCCTTTGTCGCCCAGGCTGGGTGCACTGGCGTGATCTTGGCTCACTGGCAACTCCAGTTCCGTCCCGGGTTCAGCAATTTTCCATGCCTTCCTAGGCTAGCTGGATTACAGGCATGTGCTACACATCCCAAGCATAAATTTTTTTTGTTTTGTTTTTCGTTTACATTTCAAGGACGGAGTCTCAACTCTGTCGCCAGGCTGGAGTGCCAGTCGGCCCGATCTCAGCTTCACTGCAAGCCCGCCTTCCCAGGTTCACGCCATTCTCTTGCCTCAGCCTCCCGAGTAAAGCTGGACCTACAGGTGACCATCCCCATAACGCCTGGCTAAATTTTCTGTATTTTTAGGTAGAGATGATAGGTTATTCCCATATTGGCCAGGCTGAGTCCCTTGAGACTCCTGACTCTCAGTGTGGATTCCACTTTTTTCTTCCACCTCCCAAAGTGCTGGGATTACAGGCGTGAGCCACTGCGCCTGGCCAATAACACTCACTTGCTATCTCATAGGACTCATGTTAAAAGAGCTCATGAGGTGGTGTGTCCTGTGAAATGCTTTGTAGCAGACAGAGACATGCAAACAAGTGCTTAATAAATATTACAATCATTATTGTTCCTGGCTGGCACTGGCTCATTGCTCTGTAACCCCCAGCCACTGTTGGAGGCTGAAACAGGAGGATCCCTTGAGTCCAGGAGTCGATGACCAGCCTGGGCAACATTATCGGGGAGACCCTGTTGCATTTATTATATTTATTTATTATTGACAGTAGTTTTTGCCTTTTGTATCCTCAGGTTGAGTGCAATGGTGCTACTCTCGGCTTACTGCAACCTTCCAGCTCCTGGTTCAAGCGGATTCTCCTGCCTCAGACTCCTGGAGTACTGGATTTACAGGCATATACCACCACATCTGGCTAATTTTGTATTTTAGTAGAGACGGATGGTTTTCACATGTTGGTCAGGCTGCTGTCTCAAAACTCTGACTCAGGTGATCTGCCTTGCTTTGCCTCCCCATAAGGTTGGGATTTCAGCGTGAGCCACTACGCCTGGCTATGTTATTTTTAAATAAAAATTTTAAAAAATGAAGTTGACTGGGTACAGTGGCTCACGCCTGTAATCCATCACCACTGGAAAGGCCAGACGGGCGGATCAGTTGAGGTCAGAGTTTTGAGACCAGCCTGCCCACATGGCAAAACCCCTTCCTCTACTAAAAAATACAAACATTAGCTGGGCATGGTGGCAGGCACCTGTTAATCCACTACCTGGGAGGCATGGGCCTAGGCAGGGAATCACTTTGAACCCACGGAGGCAGAGGTTGCAGTGAGCCAAAGGATAGAGCCATTGCACCCAGCCCGGGTGACAAGAGCAAACTCTGTCTCAAAAAAAATAAAGACACATGCAAAACATATGTTTATTGTGGCACTATTCACAATAGCCAAAGACTTGGAACCCACCAAATGTCCGCCATCAAATGATAGCACTGGATTAAGAAAAGTGCGCACAGGCCCGGCGCGCGGTGGCTCCAACGCCCTGTAATCCCAGCAAACTGTGGGAGTGCCGAGACGGGCCAGATCATGAGGTCAGGAGAATCGACGACCCTATCCCTGGCTAACCGGTGAAAACCCTCTCTCTACTAAAATACAAAAAACCTAGCCGGCCCGAGGTGGCGGGCGCTCTGTAGTCCCAGCTACACAAGCGAGCTTGAGGCAGGAGAATGGCATAAACCTCAGGAGGCCGGAAGCTGTGCAGTGAGCTGAGATCCGGCCACTGCACTCCAGCCTGGGCGACGAGCGATACTCCCGTCTCAAAAAATAAATAAATAATAATAAAGAAATGTGTGCCACATATACACATGGAATACTATGTTAGCCATAAAAAAGGATGAGTTTATATCCTTTGCAGGGACGTGGATATAACTGGAAACATCATTCTCAAGCAAACTATCACAAGGACAGAAAACAAACACTGCATGTTCTCATCATAGGTGGGAATTGAACAATGAGAACACTTGGACACAGGCGGGGAACATCACATATCCACACCGGGCCTGTTGTGGGGTAGGGGCCTGCGGAGGATAGCATTAGGAGAAATACCTAATGTAAATAACGAGTTAATGGTGCAGCAAACCAACATGTCACATGTATACCTATGTAACCTGCACATTGTGCACATGTACCTAGAACTAAAAAAAATGAAAACCCATGAACAATCTTGGTTATTTAAACCAAGTTTGTTCTATGTTGAGAAACAAAATTAAGATTGAGAGGAAAAAAATACAAAATTAGCCAGGTGGTGGGTGGCACACGCCTGTAATCTCAGCTACTCTAGAGGCTGAGGCGGGAGAATCACTTGAACTGCGAGGCAGGGTGCATTGAGCTGAGATCGCACCACTGCACTCTAGCCTGAGCGATAGAGCAAGACTGTCTGGAAAAAAAAAGAAAAAATGTATTACTGTTATTCTGGTGTTCGGCAAAGTGTTTCTACTTAACCTGTGTGACTTGAGATGGTGAGATAGATTATGAGTCAGACACATTTGTGAAAGGCACTTAAATATCCCCAAAAGGACTTTTTTGTGGGGGTGGGGACTGGGTCTTGCTCTGTCACCCACACTGGAGTATAGTGGTGCTATTACAGCTCACTGCAACCTTGACCTCCCGGGCTCAAGTGATCCTCCCACCTCAGCCTCTGTAAGAGCTGGGACTATAGGCTCCTGCCATGTCCACCTGGCTAAGTTTTTGCTGTTTAATTTATATTAATTTTATTTTATTTTTTTGAGACAGTAGTCCTCGCTGTGTCGCCAGGCTGGAGTGCAGTTTGCCGGATCTCAGCTCACTGGCAAGCTCCCCGCCTCCCGGGTTCACGCGCACGATTGTCTTCCATTGCCTCAGACCTCCAAGTAGCTGGGGAACGACAGGCGCCGCGGCCACCTTCGCTCCGGCTAGTTTTTTGTATTTTTTCTAGTAGAGACGGGAGTTCCAGCATGTTAGCCCAGGATGGTCTCGGAGTACTCCTGACTTTGGATCCCGACCACCCGTCTCG